GCCAACTGGAGGACCGCGTTGACCACGTAGTGGCAATGCTCGGCGACATCAGCACCTTCKCTGCGCCGACCACCACCATCAGCAGTCAGCTGCATACATTGAAGACCGAGGTCTAGAAGCTGCAGTCGACGAACGCGGACGACAATCCGAAGATGTACAAGATGCCAACTTTCAACCTGSAGAGGTTCGACGACTACACGCAGCCGGATCCCGTCCTCTGGTGAGAAGCATTCACAACCGACTCAGGATTCTGCCAGTAGCCAAGCAAGCGTACATCGGCGCCCTGTTCCTGAACTCAAAGGGMGGATGCCAGACCTGGTTGAGCCACCTGGCAACCTCCCACGACGTCGACGTACCAGACTTGGAGGACGTAATCACATCGGAGGAACTGACACGGCTGTGGAAGAAGCGGTTCATCGTCGACGACGCGCCGGCACTCGCCATCAACCGTTTGTTCACCATGTCACAGGGCAACACAGCAACACAGGACTGGCTCACGGAGTGGCAAAAGATTGCGGCTGTACCCAATTTGAACCTACCATTCGAGCATCTACGCCGTGAGCTCTACAACAGGTCCTATGCGACATTGAGCCAGGCTCTTGGTGATCGCGAGCAGTACTCAACCTTCGCGGAGATCATTGACAAAGCGAGGGAGATCATCAAGACCAACAGGTCAGCTGCACACGAGAAATCAACATCATGGCAGCCGACCTATGTGGAGAAGGTACGAACTGGTCCGCGACAGCAGCACTTCGCTGCAGTCCAGCAGGACAGTGGAGATAACCCAGCAGCCACTCCAGCATCAAGTGACGGAGATCAGGTGGCCGCTGTCCAGCCGCGAAGCACCAACAAGTCCCGCAACAATGGGAAGGCGAAATCCGCATCGCAGGCCGGAAATGGACAGCCAGGACAGTTTCCATGGGTCAAGTTTGGCTTGACCGAGGCGGAGTACAAGGTCCACGGCCGCTACGTCTGCTGCTATTGGTGCAACAGCACCAAGCACAAGACCTCCCTGTGCCAAGATCACGGCAAGGAGGATGTGCGACCCCGCCTCAACTCGGGAAACTGAGCTCCGCGGAAGGTGAGGCGACTCCACATTCTACTCCGCCTGATTCCGCCGCCTTGCTAGCGGCCTCCTGCACATCTGGGAGGATGCGAATGT